TTCTGTGGCCGCCACGAGGCCCCATGTCCGCCGCCGGCTCATGGGCAAGACGCCGCTTCTGATGACGCGCAGCACCTGCGATGAGGGACCAGGCGCGCAGGCGGCGCCGTCGCTGCCACCGCCACTTGCCGATGCCGCAGGGCGCGATCATGCTGCTAGCGCTAGTGGCGCATCGGCCGCGTCTGCTTGCCCGAGCCTGGACCCTGGCCCCGCGACGTGTACTATTATGCCCCACCACCTGCTGCATCCCCTTACCAGTTTCGGTGCGGACGTTGCTGGTATGCGCCGCCAGCGCGCCTTGCGGCGCACGGCGTCGGCCGCGTCGGGGGGGAGCCCAGTGGCATAGATAGGATCGGGGCGGATAGCCATACCCTTACAGACCGCCCCATCCATGCAGCATCTGCCATCTATAGCTGCACCGCCAGTCCTCCTCTCTCCACCTCCTGCCCCATTCCCTCTGCGTGATCACCTCCCCTACTCTCCCCCCTCCCTCACAACTCGCATTCGAGCCCTTTCCTCCTTCTCCCTCGACATTGCGTGGGTCATCCACGCTGCGTGCGTGCGCTGTGTGGCGGCTGTTGCACAGGGTCTAGGCGGCCCTAGGCGCCGCGCGTATACACGGCGGCCGGCCGCACTGCATGAGTATTACCGTGAACAGATTGTCGTCCGCGGCAGAGCCTCCATCCTCTCGGTTCTACAATCCCCCCCCCGGCGTCCACCATCACCAGTTTGTTCGAGCTGCGTCCACCCGTGGGTGGGGGGGACGAGGACATTCAGGTCCGAAGGTCCGAACGCCGGTCCGAACGCATCGGACCATACCGTACCCGACAGTTCCCAAACAGGTTCCACCTCCCCCCCCTTGGAGGGGGCGGTATCTGCGATTTTCGCTGATTTTCGTCGACCCTTCGTAGATTTCGATTTCGATTTTGATTTCAGTTTTTCGTCGATTTCTTTTTCGTCGATTTCTTCTGCGGTTCGGGCCCTCTGGGCCCGGTGGCCCTGGACGCATCCCCGCATTCCCCCCTCGCATCGCCATAGCCAACATTGCCACAGCCATTTCGGCATCGTAGCCCCCCCGCTGGGCAGGTGTGCCGCGCGGCCCCCTCAGTTTCTGCGAGGCCGCTCTGGCCAGTCATGCCGACGTCACCGCCATTTCCTGATGGCGAGCCGAGGCACGTCAATCAGATGTATCCTGGGCTGACGGGGTGCGTGCTGCGAGAGAAGGTCGAGGCCGAGTGGGCCATGCCGGACTCCTCGTACGATCGCATCCCGTACGAGGGCAGAGACGGCCGCAAGATCTTCGTGCGGCACCCCCACAACAAGCAGCGCTCGAGCCAGGCCGTGGTGAAGCGCTACGCGGCCTCCATCGAGAAGCACGGCATCAAGAAAGACGCCAGGTCGGGGAGAGTGATGGCGGTGCCGACCACGATCAACCCTGACACGTGGGTCCTGCAGGTGATTGCTGGGGCCACGCTGATCGAGTCGGTCTACAAGGCCTTGGACGACACGCGGCGCACCAAGAAGGCGAACCCGCAGGTGGAGCACACTGCGGCGGCTGGCGTGCGGGACGTGCTGCTGTTGCGGGACACCACGCCGGTGTGTGTATTACGCTACCTGAAGGACGAGATGAACAGCATGCTGCGGATTGGGAACCCTCGGAACTTCAGCGAGCTCTACCAGCACCTCGACCACGTGGAGGCGGAGTTCGAGGCCTGGAAGAAAGAGCAGACGGCGTTGGGGAAGCCGGTCCCTGCCAACGGACATAAGGGATTCGAGACGCGATATGGGGAGTTTCTCGACGAGCAGTAGCTTGCTCAGGATCTGTGGTCGGTCGATTCGGTCGATCGGTCGGGCACGTTCGTTTTTGCACGCGGTATCCCATCTGCTCAGCGGTCACCGACTGAGCAGATGGTGGCGCCCATCGTCTTCGGAGACGGATCGGATCGGAGGTACGCGATCACATACCGAGGAAAGGGTTGCACAGTTTCCCCCGGGGCCGCAGGCGGCCCGAGGAGGAGGAGGAGGAGGAGGAGGAGGAGGAGGAGGAGGATGTTCGGACTGGATCGGATCGAATCGTGACTCGGTCGGCGGTCTGGCCGACACGGATACGAGGTTCGAGGACTCCTGGACATCGTTCACTGACTTTCGATCACAGACCGATGTTCGGACTGGATCGGATCGGATCGTGATTCGGTCGGCGGTCCAGCCGATACGGATACAAGGTTCGAGGACTTCTGGACATCGTTCACTGACTTTCGCCGTTGCAGAGCAGCGTGGTCGAAGCTGCAGGCTTGGCCTCTTGAGTCGTGGCTCCTGACCTTCTGCGAGGAGAGCGTCGACTTCTCCCACAAAGATCTTGACAGCACGAGTGTGTTCGCGTGTCACAATAAGATCATGTTGATGCTGGCGAGCACACCTCACACCGAGCTGGTCCAGACGTTGCTCATGATGTCGCTGCCAGGCGATCACAACGAGGACTTCCCGTGGCTGTTCAAGAAGGCGGCCGACTTCAGCAAGGCGAGGAGGTTGACTGCCGATTTGATGCAGTCATCAGTGTTCAAGGTTGCCCGCGAGATACATGGCCCGGGCGGCAAGCCTGTCGAGGCCGTCGCTGCCGTGGAGGGCAAGGGTAAGAAGCGCAAGGCACAGCCCAAGAGGAAGGCCGCCGCAGATATCGAGCCCAGCGACACCAGCATCGCCTTCACCGCGGCTTCGGTCACGATGGCTCAGGACCTCCAGAACTCCATGGTGGATATCACCTCGCAGTTGCCGAGCACGAGCAGGGTCGACACGATGTTCAATATGAAGATGAAAGCGAAGGTAGTGACTTACGTCGTCAATGAGTCTATCGAGTGCGAGACCGAGAACTCCGACGGCACTCATGCAGTGGTGATCAAGCAGTACAGCAAGCTTCGGTTATGGATCCGCAAGAGAATGCGCAGCCATTACAACCTACCCGACCCTGCGGACGATGACGATGATGCACTCCCTGTTCCCGCCGCCGAGGGTGCCGATGCTGCCGGTGACGATGATGACGAGTATGGTTCAGATGCTGTTGCAAAATTGCGGGACATCGTCAAGGCGCGACCTGACGTCGGGAAAAAGATGAAGGCCCTCATGGAGGATAACCCGTTCAACTTCGACCTCGACACCCACATTGCCGTGGCATCCATGACCGCCTCTCTCAGGAAGGAGCTCGGTGACTCGACCAAGGATGCAGACATGATGAAGGTGATCCAGGAGCAGAACTTGGACTCGTTCATCCACGTGCGCCCCATGGTCGGCAATGTTGTGCGGATTGTCGACAAGTACTGGCCCACGCAGTGCGTGACCGCAGCCATCCTGATCAACGACATCGCGGGCCCCGATCAGACGGGGCGGGACATCCCTGGGACGGCGCTCGTGGAGCTGCTGGCGGGGTATCAAATCATTCCTCCTCCTCCTCCCCTCCGCCACGCTCCACCTCCTCCTCAGGACTCCTCCTCCTCCTCCTCCTCCCCTCCGCCTCTTCCTCCCAACCATCTTCTTTCTCATTCTCCTTACTATTCCACCGTCCTCCCTTATCCTCCTCCTTCCGCGCCCTCCCTCCGCTCATCCCCCCCCCCACCCCCGGGGCTCCCCCCTCTCCGCTGGAACGCTTCCCTCCCTCCCCTTCCTTCCCATCCTCTTACTCCGTCCTCCCACATTACCCTTTATTTTCGTCTCTCCTCACCCCGCCCTCCTGAGTCTCCTGGGGGGAGGAGGAGGAGGAGGAGGAGGAGTTTTTTGTTTCGCTCCAGGAACGCTCTCGTGACCTGCACGCCGTCTTCGGCGACGTCTTCGAGTCTCACACTCAGTTGAGTTGCTTCATGGCGATGCGAGCCTCATACACGATTCACATGTTGGACAGGCTGCACGCCTACTTGACAGAGGGCCGCGATCGCGGCTCATTCGTGTGGTTGACGGAGGCGTCTCTCCTCAAGCTGCAGGCTCCCCGAACCCACCCCTTGAATCCTGGGTTGTCGCGTACCCCCCGAGTCGATTCAGTCACCCCCCCCCCGTGCCCTCGCCCCTGTAGGCCCTGAGGGGGCCTTGGATCCTCCTGGCGCTTCTGGCGGCACGCGGACGGGGTCGGCGGGGGAGGTCAACCTTGGATTCTGGGAGTGGTTCGTGGTGTCCTGAGGCTGCCGTGCGCTTCAGTACGCGTGCCACCGGGGCGATCATGAAGAACGATTGCCTGAACACCACGGTCGACGAGTGCGAGGCCATGTGGTCCAAGATCGTCGGGCGATCGACCGAGCTGATGGAGGGTGGCGGCACCGCGGCGCGGTCTGGCCAGGAGTGGAAGACCTTTGAGCACGCCGCCCGCGCCAAGGCCACGAAGTCCACAATCCAGGACTTGCGCGCCATGGCGATCTCGGGGGGGAGGCAAACACTGTTACACAGATGCGGACCCCCAGTTGAGTTGAGCCGAGGTGGCCTTCAGCTTCCTCACCCGCATCCCCCCACCCCCCACCCTCCGCTCGCTCCCCCTCCCTCCCTCTCTCCCCCTCCCCCCCATCAGTTCCCCCCCCCCTCTGGGCCCGCCTTCGCCTCCCACCCCCCCCCACCAGCTGGGGGGGGATGAGGGGATGAGGGGAGTGAGATTCCAATGATTGGTACTTAGAGAGGGCCCCCCCGCGGGGGCCTGGACCCCCCCTCGCGCCTTTGCTCTAGGCTTCCCAGGTGGGGTCGGAGTAAATGGGGTCGGAGGATGATGCATCGACGATGCGGCTCGATGCGGAGCCCGATTTTCTCCACGCTGGCGTCGCCGATGCACCGCCCACGTCGATGATGTATCGCCGGTGCATCACAAATGCATCGCCGATACATCTCCGATGCATCGCCGATGTATCGGTGATGCGGCGCCATCCTCCGACCCCGTCTACTCCGACCCCATCTAGGAGGCCTCTGTTTGCGGCATCTGTCAGGCACTTCAGCACGGCTGCGTGTCCACCGATGCGGCCGCCACGCTGTCCAAGCCCGAGCTGGTCGACCGCGTCGTCGCCGCGGACCTCCAGAAGGCGCGCGCTGATGAGGCGCAGTTGGTGGGCGACTGGCGATCTCGCGTGGACCAGGCCTTGGGGAACATGATTGATGGCACGTCCGCCGAGTCCACAGGGGCATCCGGCCAGGACTCCAACAACCCCGCGGTGCAGGACCTGCTGGCCGAGCTCGATGATTTCAGAGTCTTGCACGCCGACGCCGATGGGACCAAGTACGTGACTTGTGTTGCTCGCCAGGGCAAGACGACGTCGGGGATCGCCGCCTACAGGGTGTGGCTGTGCGAGCAGGCGGCCACCCTGGCCCTGATGAAGGCGTGGCGGCAAGGCTTCGTTCGCAAGCCCAGGATGCCCGAGCTGAAGCCCGCTGAAGCTGCTGCTCTGGCTGAGGCTGCTGCCTCCCCCGAGATGCTGGCTCTCGCGGATGCCGCGACGGCGCCCGCGGAGGATACGGCGCCCGCGGAGGATGCCGCGACGGTGCCCGCGGAGGATGCGTCCGCCGTGCCATCGCTGCCCGAGGCCGAGACGCTGTCACCGACGACCCTGGAGGAGGCCACCGCCCAGCAGGTGCAGGGTGAGCCCGAGCAGCATCAGCTGGGCACGAGTGGGCCAGGCGCGTCGGCGGCCGAGGATGCGCCTCCAGCGGGCGCCCGTGCGGCTGCTGCGGCCGAGGATGCGGGCGCTGTGGCCGAGGAACCTCCTCCAGCGGGCGCCCATGCGGCTGCTGCTGCGGCCGCCGGCGCCGGCGTCGGCGGCCTGGACGCCGCCAACGGCACCAACGGCCCCAACGACGAGCGGGCGCCGCGAGAGCTCGCCATCATCGCGCGGGAGCCCGACCCGATCTCGCTGGCAGACTGCGGTGAGAACAAGCTGTGCAGGCAGACCAAAGAAGGCAGTGCCGTCCGAGACCGCATGTGGGTCGAGCAAGGCGCCAGCTTCGCGGAGGACATGGTGTTCCACTTCGTCGGGAACGTCGTCCTATCTGGCCCGGACCCTCCTGCGAAGCTGTGTGCGGACGCTGGTGAGGTAGTGATCGAGTGCGGAGATGCTGACGGATCGCCTCTGCGCTGCCACGCGTGGATCCTGCCGAACCCGTCCATCTCGAAGCTTGGTGGTGCTCTGTGCGCGCCCGCTTGGTGCGCCCGCGTCGCCACCTCGGACAAGGCCACCGTCACCACGACGTTGCACACGTCCGCGCCGTTCGATGTCACGGCGTACGACGGACCCGTACCGATGAAGTTCACCTTGACCGTGCCGTACCTGAAGATCGCGCCGGCGCCCAAGCCAGAGGAGCCAGAGGAGCCACCAGAGGAGCCGGAGGACGAGGAGGAGAACGCGGAGTGCCCCGTGCACGTTGAGGTAGTGCGCGAGATGTTCGACCACGAGGTCGCCAGGAAGTCCGAGGCAGAGTCCAAGCGTAAGCGCATGGAGGAGAAGCGGGAGGCGGCGAAGAGGAGGCGGATCTCCCTTGACGCGGAGGACGAGGACCCGAAAGTGTTCGGCCTCTTGTCGCACATGCTGCGCTAGGCGGCGCGCGTGGCGGTGCCGGAGCTGCCAGTTCTGAGTGGGCGCTGGCTAGTGCATGAGCTTTCTCATAATTCAGGGATGGTCACAGGCCTTTATTTTGTTGGCCCCCCTCAGCCCCTCAGCGCCATCGATGTCTCGCGGCGCAGGGACGGGGCCAAGTGCACCAGCGGTGCATGTGTTTGGTTGGGGCAGCCAGGCCCATGCTGCTGTCAATTCAGTCCTCTCCTGTTGTTTTGCTCAGCCCGAGCCCTCATCTCCTCCCCTTACCACCCTCGAGTGCCTCGCACTTCCTAACTCAGCCCACCTCCGCTACCCTCCACTCCTCTTCCCTCCGTCTCTCGTTCTCGTTCTCTCTCCCTCTCTCTCTCTCTCTCTCCCTCTCATTCCTCCTCGAACCTCCCTCCCTCATCCATTCATCACTCCTTCCTCCTCCTCCTCGTTCTCCTCCCCCTCCTCCTCTTCTTCCTCCTCCTCCCGTTCAGTTTGTGCCCACGCTTCTTGCTTGGCACGTCTGGTGCGGGGCCGGCAAGGGACCCGCCGCCCTGGACAAGTTGGACCTCGCCTCGCGATCCCTGCCCCGCCGCGCAGCCATCAGGAGCCATTGGATGGACGGCCGATGGGTGAGCATCGCGAACCACGCCACCATTGCCACATCCTCCTCCTCCTGCTCTTCCTCATTTCTTCCTCCTGGCGTCCTCACCTTTCCTATCTGACTATCCTCCTCCCTCCCTCTGTCCTCCACCTGGTCACCTCCTCCCTCCTCGCAGCCTCGCTCCCCGTGAATCCTTCCCTCGGGCGGGTGCCCTTTCGGCCGCGGCCGACCGTCGTCGAGCGTCGTCGTATGTGGGTCGTCGTCGCTCGTCGGTCGTCGGTCGGAGCTGGAGTCGTCGGAGTCGGAGTCAACAGGGACGAGTCGTCAGGGCCGTCAGAGTGTCGTCGTCGTCGCCGGCGGTGCCGTCTCGTCGTGTGTAATCATTCGTCGGCGTCTCATCGTCGGTATTCGTCCTTTCGTCGTCGGCGTCGGAGAGTCGGAATCGTCGTCGGGGTCGTCGGGGCCGTCGTCGTTCGACGTCGGCACCGCCGCCTCCGCTGTCGGTTTTAGTTCGATCTCGGCCGTCTCGGCGTCGGTCGAGGCCCTCGTTCGTCGTTCGTCGGTCGTCCTTCGTCGTTCGTCGTTCGTCATTCGCCATTCGCCGTTCGTGTCGTCCCGCGCCCGTCCCAACCCCGCCATGCCCATTACGCTTAGGTTTTTCTTTGGGAACCTATGCCGAAACCTCAGGCGATCAGGATGAGCAAGGTGAATGAGGACGGAGATGTGGGAGCCGAGAGAGGGTGAGGATGGATGAGGATGAAGAGGGGAAGGAGAGACGATGAGGGAGAGGATGAGGGAGTCGCAGCTGCTGGGGGCCACTTGGGAGCGATTCGCACCCGAGCTTCCCCAGCGAACCCTGGCCACTTTCAGGGGCCCCTAAGCACATCCTCACGCGAGGGGCCCTTCCCGGCGATCGTCTGCAGCGTTGCCCGCGCGCGAATCTGGGCCTGTGCGTCGACGGCCTGGGACTGTCCGCTTGCCGCGTCATTGATGCATGCGCTGAGCTATTTCTTCCAGGGCCGCCGAGTGCATTTTGTTTTCTCGCGCGGCGCATCGGGATTCAAGGCGCCCCCTGCCCCCGGACGGGGTCAGCTTCACTCGTGGCCGGCGCGGACTGGGCGGCGAGCACGGCGCTTTCTCGGAGGCGCGGGCCGGAGCTGGAAGCGCCGACTCCGCCGCCAATCTCGGCGCGGACGACGCAGCCGGCCGCCCGCGCCGCGTCCGTCGGCTTTGCGAGAAGGCCATCCAGCGCAGGGATCTCGTTGACCGACTAGGCCGGCAGTGCCCGAAAGCAACGCCATGGTCTTAGGGGTTCATGCTAAGAGCGCGTCTGTCTGCGGCGCTTCGGCCGAAGATCATCTGGGGCGCGAGATCCACGGCGTCGGCGGCGCCGGGTGAACGCATCTTAGGCGTCGAACGGGCAGATGTTTGAGTGCATCACGCGGCGGTCGCAGTCGCGGGTTTCCTTGCCGCGGAAGAGGACCCAACTCGGCGCGGACGGGCTGCCCGCGTAGTGAACGGGGCAGACGTTTGGCCAGCGCAGTTTGGAAGGCAAGCATATGGAGTTGAAGTGGTGTTTGCCATCTGTGTCATTCGGAAAGTGGCAGCCCCTTCTCTGGGGGATCGGTCAGTGGGCCTGCCACAGCCATGCGCATGTCTGTTAAGCGCCTCGGTTGGCCGATGGCCAACCCTGCCATTCTCTTAACTGTCAAAAGAGTTTGCGTCTCTTGCCTTTGTCAGTCAAGCTTCGTTGAAGGACGGGCGACCCCAGGAGGGCGGCGTCGAGGGGTCTGGATGCGCAGACAGCCAGGAAGTTATGGGCGGGATGGACAGGGCATGCTCCGACGCTCTCAAGTTCCAGCTGCTCTCGAAGGAGTTCATCGGCGCGGAGAAAGGCTCTATCAGGAACTCGGGGTGCCGAGGTGCGTGGACAGCTGGCCGCGCAGCCAGCCTGGGACACGCGCTGGATAAATCTCAACTGGTTGACCCTCTCTGTCGGCGCTGCAGAGGCCCCAGTCACCTCCGCATGTGGGAGTAGTGCTGCGGGCGAGAACCGCTGCGAGCATGCGCTAGCCGCTATCTCAGAAGAAGCTCGAGGCTCGCTTGCGGTTTCGGTTCGCGTCTTGTTCGGTCGGCGGATTGCCCAGCATCCCGGATCTGCCGCGGGGTTGGACGACCTCCGGAAGCTGTCCGATGGCAACATTGAGGGCTGGACTGAATGTAATGGGAGTTGGTGTTGTCATGTCTTCCAGGAGCTCTCGAGAGCTGGCTGGGGCGTCTCGATGGTGTTCCCCTGGGGCGTTTCCCAGTGCGCCACATCTGTGCTGGCATAGCCCTCTTCAACATATTGCACCAGCCAGTGAGTTTAGTGCTCCTGCGATGGCCGCGATGCCCCGTCTCTGCTATGTCTTGCCGTTGGCAATCGGTGCCATCTGCGGGCCGTTGGGCGCTTGCTGTATACAGACGTAGATAATCAGGCAATGTGCCGCATGTGGGCCAGACGCCCCGCATCGTTTCTCCACGTCGTTTCCTTTCTACGTTTCCCCTAGCCTGCGGCCGGCGCCTGGGTAGCGGCGTCATTCGTTACCTTCCGCGCGCTCGCTTTTCTCCCGGGCCGCGGTTCACCTCGTGAGTTTGCCCATGGCAGGTCGGCTTGTGGGTTGCATCCAGTTTGCCCAGCGCTTCTGTCCAACCTCCGGGCCCGACGCGCGCCCGCCGCCCCAGCGGCGCGAAGGCGGCCAGGAGCGACAGTCGCCGGTTTGTTCTCCTCTCGGTCTGGGCCAGGGGTTGCGGCTCGCAGGCCAGCGGGAGTTCGGGCACCGTCGCAGAAGGGAGGCAGGCGCCCACTGTCGGGCAGAAGCCCCGCCGCAGCCTGCCTTTGAGGGCCCATGTGGCAGGAGCAAGCATCATTGACATTGTTCCCGAGGCGTCGCGCTCCCGAAACTGTCTAGGCGAAGGATCTGCTCGCCGCTGCGCCCATCAGGGGGCGTCGGGGGGTGGTATCTCCGAAGGAGAATGCGCCGGGATAGGCAATGAGTTTTCCGGCGAGGCCGCGCGGCCCAGCGCCCGCCCCCGCCCCCGGCCCTCCGCCCGGGAGCAGGACCGCGCAAATACGCGCATTGGGGCAAGCAAAGCAGTTTGCAAGTTTTCGGCCAGGCTCTTGCGCCCAGGCTCGACGCTTCGACGCGGGGGCGCACCTGGGATCTGTCGGCTGTCTGGGGCAGCAAGGAGGAGCGCCCCCCGCGCGGGCGGCAGCGGCAGCTCCATATTATTCGGCGACGCCGCGCGCCCGGTGGGAGGCGCAACGGTCGCAGACAGGTGGGCTTCGATATCGCGGACTCCTCGGGGCACAGCATTGTCGTCATCCCGCCTTCCGTCGGCGCCGATTCCAATGTATGATTTGCGCGCGGTGGTTCTCAGCGTCGGGCGGCCCCCTGCAAGCGCATGCTCTCGTCTGACTGCTCAGACAAGCCCCAGGGCCATGGCAGCGCCATGGCAAGCGAAATCACGCGAGGGCCACGCCCCTGGAAGTCCACCCATGGGCTCGGGCGCCGCCCGCAAGAAATTGAAGCCGGGGGGCGTCGGCTCGCCTCGTCTCTCCGTCGCGCGGGGGCCGCCTTCGCTTGGCAGGGGCCCCGCCGCGGCAGGCGGCGGGCCCGCTCGGTTCTGGCCGTCGTCGAGCCGTTCGAGGAGGCTCAGAAGCCAGGCAGGCGAAGGCTGGCAAGCCCGCGACCTGCTAACGCAGAGCTCCGGGAAATTGTCTTTCCTTTTGGGAAGCAGCCCTTTTACCAATATCGCGCGGAACTTGTATTTGATTGCTGCCAACAATGGTGATTTTTCTCGGTTGACAGGAGCGTTCTTCTTTTGGCTCATGCTTGATGTGCTCTAAAGCGAGGACTTCTCCGCTGTGTTTGGCATGGCCGCGCGTGCATCCGTCCTGCTGTTTGGTGGCGCTACATCGCCGCTGCGAAAGTTTGACCCATCCCGTGGCCCTGCCACCACAACGCCGCAAGACGGCCCCAATCAAGGGCAGGGGCCATCACGCCACTGAGCGCCAGAGACGCTTCATTCCGACTTCGAACCCGTTTGGAGGAAATCATGAGCGGAATCGCCGTTTCGATTTTGAGCCGCATGGTTTTTGGATTGCGTTTTGGAGGAGGTGTTCGGCGGATTTTCGATTTCAGTTCCGAACCTGAGAATTCCTATTTCAGCTGAAACGGTTTTTTTCGATCCAGTCTCAAGCGGGATCTTCGCTTCGACTCGGGCAGCCCGTTTGGCATTTGAGAATTGTATACTTCGGCAGCCCGGAAAGTCGGACGCGCGGTCGTTGCGCGGGACTTCTTGTAAAGGAACCGCTCCCGACATAGCGTCGAAAGCAGTCGGCCCGACGTAAAAATTGCGACCCCGC